CGTTTCTGCTGAAGTTTGGGTAATCATCATCTCGAACGACTACCGTTTGCTTGCCTTTACTCGAGAAGTATTCCTGTATTCTTCCAACTATTGTAGTTTTACCACAGGCTGGATGTCCAGTCACCAAGAGAAAAGGCATATTATCTGCAAAACAATGACATTACGAGTGAGATTGTGACCATACCCTGGGCCACAAAAGAAATAGAGACATAAATAGAAACTATGAGATAGACTAAATAGAAATTATGAGATGAAAATAGCTTAGATCAGTACTGTTTGAGGAGGCTATCAAATAAGATTTTGCACAGGTGAATGGTTTGGTTCTATGTTGGAAGGTGAGTGTCGGATTGAACTGCACCTGGAGCATGTATGATGCAGTTCAGCACAACCGAGTCGAATAAGCGCACGGCAACGGACATTCTTCCCCTTGCCCTAGGCTTGGAAGAGCAATCCAGAAAGAAACAATCAGAAGACCAGATCCGTGCGCGGCAGAAACGTGAAATAGTTGCGCCCTTGCATGGTCCTGCACAACTATAATTAACAGTATTACCTCCTGGTGGGGCAGTTTAGAAGGGGCAGAATGAGCTCGCTCTGACTGCCTTTTCTATTAACAGTGATCGCTTAGTGATCAGTTCAAGAAGAAAATGACTGGAGCTAAAAGAAGCCACAGAAGGGCTCATTCTATGACTCTTGGCAACGCCCCGACTGACTGCGACGATATCAGCTATTAGCACCCACTCGAGCCGCAGATAGGGCCCCATATGGCGGTACAACCTTTACCATTCGCAGCATACCACAGCTCGAGCTAGGAATGCCCTGCTAGTTTGCGAGCGATGCCGCTTCGGATATCATGAGCTATACGCTAAGAGCGATACATAATACAATAGCGATACATACAATATAATTCCCATCAAGATCTGTTTCTTGCACAAACGAATTAATTCCTCACTTAGAGCTCCTTCCCTTTTAGATTTATGCGGGAATCCTCCTCGTTCGTTCCACAATGGTCTCGCTGCACATTTCAAAACTAAAAGCTGCCCCACATATGGAAATCGTTGCAAGATCTCGCGGTTTTAGAAGTTCCTTGTGCAAAACTGGGATTACCGTACCGCGGACTTTTGCACCTAAATACTGTGCAATTGCGCAATGGTCCAATAACAATGATGTGTACGGTAATTTCAATCCCAAGCTCTGGACATGGATTCCTTCATGGCAAGGAGAACTGTACGTAGATGGGGTTTGGTCGTTAGAATCGGAGTAAAGCGGAATAACTGACTAATTAGGGTGCTTTCGTGCCTTGCGACACTAGAGAATAGTTGAATTTGAAGAATCAGCGGGTTGTGGAAGTGTGAAAATCGAGTAAACAGCGAAGAAGAATGCACACATACCGACCTAACTTCGCATATTCGTTAATTTTTGAAGTTCCACGATTCTCCAATCATCCAAATAACCCGATTCGTCAATTCTTCATCTTCGCAAAATATAAAGGCGACCCAATAATGGCACATCTTTTGTGACCCCAAATTCTTATGAACAGCATTACCACAATGCTGGGAAGAAAATGAGGTCTGGAGCTCCTCCGGTAATATTTCTAAAGAACATCGAGGTAGGAACCCCTCCCAAAGTGCTGATTACGCGTCTCGTTCCCTAATTTATTTTCATTCATTGTTTCTATGTGAAACAGGCCATGAAAAAAACGACACAAGTTTGGAAGGCTGAAACTAAAATTTTTCAGGAAAAGGACATACTAGACGGGGCGAATATGTTGACTAGAGCGCGCCGTTGACGTTGACCATTTGCTGACTTACTCATATCGACGTTCAGTTGACCTATTGACGTCCGGGAGTCCTTCCGATGGCGGAGCCCGTCTCGTTGAAGGACGCCTTGGGCAATGTTGAGGTGAATGTCTTTTTAACCATTTTTTTTCTACTTCAGCTAACTTATTGTTCAGTTGTTGGAAGACCTCATTCTACCTGACGATCAACCAGCTATTGAAGCCCGTCCACTTCCACTGTTGTGCAGGTGCTTTTTATTTGCTTTTGCAATTTTCTCTGCAATGTTTGCCAATAGCCCTTTTGGACATGCTTCTTTGTCTACATACTAGGAGCTTCTCTACAAAAGCTAGCACTTAGGGTAACTATGAACGGATTCGCATGGAGAAATAGCTCACGCGAAGTGTTGGGTTTAAAGTGACAAACTTCTTTGTTTTGCCAAAGAAAAAAATTGCAGTGTGACTGCAGAGGCAGAGGATTTTACTGTAGTTTCCGTTTGCTTCAAAGCTCGAAACCTAAAACGAGATTTAAAAAGCAATCGATGTCAGTATCACAGCGTGAAAATCTCAAACCCCTTAGGTATATAAAATCATCTTTTCTCTTTTAATTCACCACTTCCCGAACCAGATTCGCTCCTTTTCAAATCAAGTTCGCCACACTTTCTACACCGGACAGTTGTTAACCAGATCGAGCTAGACACCATCGCAACCCCCGTTCCGACAGCTATGCTACATGCGTCTTTTTCAGATTTTTATTTTTTTTCAAAATTTGCAATTTTTTGCTGTTACGGAGGCCCCCACTACGTGAAACCTGCCTACTTTTGAAAAAGGATGTGTCGGCAGGCGACAGTTCTCCACTGATATGTTAGGGTCACGCTCGTCACACGGAACAAAAATCGGTTACAGCTTACTGCTGCTCTGCTTGCCTTTGTTTAGTTTTTTTTTTTACTTTCCCTTCCAATCAACTAGGATCTTTATGGACTTCAGAAGTTCTCAAGATCAAATTGCCTTTGGTATATACATTATAGGACCACTTTCGATACAAACTTTGAAGACAGAAATGCATATGTCACGGGAGTGTCCAAATACATCGAGGAGGCTACACGTCACGCGCCATCTTATTTTGTGAATTTTTATTCTTGCATTTTTGCTGCTTATCTGCTGTTACTGCTTCGTTCAATGCTAGTTATTCTTAAATGACCTGTTAGAATGAAGGACTACAGCATGCTGGCAAAATCTTTACACCTTGGAGATGTTTGCTCCCGAGCTGCGCTCCAACGGTCTGTTTATGCACGCTCTGGTGCGCTGAAGGCATTTTTGAATGGCAGCTTTAGTTGTTTTTTAGGTGAAGTCAAATGATCAGCCGAATCGCGTTGAAATCAATATGAAAGTAGTGGAAGTTTTGAGACCTGAGGTTGACAAGTTGCAGCAGTTCATGCTCTTCACGGTGAGGTGGCCAAACTTGACCTTTCTAAATATGTTCAAGCTTTGCTGGAATCGACGGTCTTGACTCTACTTTTTTTGTTTTCGTCTTCAAACAGTTCTGACGATGCGTAGTTCTGGAGGGCGAGGAGCGAAGAGGGCGTCTTGGGCGCCACAGTACTCTAACGCTGTGGTGGGGGGGGGCATTTTGCATTTCTGTTGCTCACAGTCTGCGTTCTACAAGATCTCACTCGGTCCCTATACTTCTTCGTCAATGAGGTTTGTAGGTGGAACTTTATTTACGGCCTAACGTTTCGACCAGATCGTCGTTCTCAGAGGCCTGAATGTAGCTCAAGATTTCCGTGCAATAAATTCCACCTACATAACGCTCGTTGGCGGCAAATAATAAAGCCCACATCTAAATTACAACAATCCGAGATGTATACGAAAGAGAGAAGTTGCAGACTCTCACTCTGGTTTAAAACCTTTGGAACTCTCGTTGAAGTTGCGAAGCAAGCTCGTCAAGCCATCAACGGTTAAAAACCTGTTCAGCCCGAGAACAGGCTGCTAGATGGCGTAGCACATCGAACGCGGAATTCGTTAAAGCTCAAAATGCCCCCTCCCTCCGCTTGCCAGACAGTGCCCGCCGTGTATTCTTTACTGCTCCGCGTCGACGTGCTGTGCCATAATTGAGAATAGGGAAATTTTTGGAAGCCACAAGACGGTATCCAGCCAAAGCTCTTAGAGACCCCTGTCGAGCTTTATTGAAGCCATGAATCCTATTCAAATATCATCATTTTGGTGGCTCGACGAGGCTGCTCTCAACTTCACCATGAGCTCACAGATTCCACCAGAGTGATACTTGTAAGCCGGATATAGTAGTGAACAGCAAAGGTGCGAAATGCTCGCCCCTTCCTTCCAACCCCGTCGCCAATTGGTGCCTTGAACCATTTGGGGTTTGAGATCAATAGGGTATCCTGCGCTGCATATTTTCATCACAAACTTCTTTATGTATTGTCGAATGAAGCACTTCCACAATTTGTGTGAGTGCAGTTCCGTGGGAATTACCTCAATCGCTTCCTACGATCTTCAGCATTTCCTCAGGTCAGGTTGTAGACCTTAGGAAGGGCTTGTGACACGAAACGCTGTCACATATAGTGTGGAGTGCTATCGAAAGAGAAATCTCACCTTTGTAGTCGTTTTGTAGTCGAAGAGAAACAACTCCATTCTACTTTGTTGGTAATATGTTAAAAAGATGCTGTGATTTCAGAATGACGCCATCTCACGGTTCTGCGAAGAAGTTCGACGTCTTTGTCACATAGAAAGCAGGAAGTGAGGCTCTACTAATCTTATTAAGGATTTCGTCTCCGAAGCATATTTGCTGACACTGGGACGATTTTTGAACATGTTCGCGGTATTAGACGAGTTGAAGAACATGAAGGCTTCTATCAAAAATGACTTTTCTGCCTTCCGGAGGCGAGTGCTGCATCTGTTTGTGATGAGTTCATCATCTTTCTTTCTTCCATTGTACGAACTTCTTTAGATCTGCTCAGTTTCTCCAAGTTATGTCGGATACTCAAACAATCCACGATATGCAGAATCTGAGTATGTTTCTAGCTACGCAAAATAAGATCAAAGATGAAGTGCGAGCAAAGATGATAAAGGTATGTTCTACTAGTGCTAGTTGTTTTGATGGGTGACCATTTTTGAATGACTTTAGATTGAAGCGTATGAGGAGCTGCTCACCGATGTTATAAACATTTGTGCTCATATGTTTGAAAGTCATCTCTATCTTGCCCCGTCGGAGCGGCATATGTTTGTAAAAGTAAGTGTATAAGAGCGTCTTTTTGCTGAACTAGAATGTTTCGAGGAGCGTCCTACCACTGTTAATCTTGACATAATAAGCAAAGTTCTCAGGTCATTGCATTCTCCCTGTTCCTCATGGACGGCGACGCTGCTAATGTCGCAAAGATGGACCAAAAAAAGCGGCTGAACATCAGTAGACTGGATAAAATTTTCAAGGTTTTCACGCTTGATTGAACACATTCGTATTTCTTGATCCTGTTCACTATCGATTTACTAAAGTTGTGAACTGTTCAGTCGCTAGAAGTTGTTCCTCTCTACGGAGACATGCAAATCCAACCGTTTTCGTTTGTACGAAGGTCGCAATTTTATGATTCCAGCAAATGGCCGTTGAGTGATAAAGAGGGTGAGTTGTTTCACTAACTGTTTTTCTGTCGTCAATGGTGTCGAGATGGTTGTTGACTTATTGTTTATCATAAGCTGTGGACAAAAGCCTGGTCCTAGACGAGACATGAACCTGCATCCCATGCGGTACGGGCGGGTGTGCTACCGCACGGAAACCGTGAGGCGTGGGTACGAGTGTGATGGCTGGGTTTTTGTCCATAACTCAGCATTTTTGTGATAGCTTTCGGAGCGCGAACGACAGCGTCAAACAACAGTTGTCATAATACAAACGACAGCGTCAAACAACAGTTGTCATAATACAACATTTTGAAATACTTATATTACTTGTTTGATTCATTTTCCTCTGTTCATAAGAAACAGTTCTGCCTGAGATTCGAGTTTGGCCCTCATAAGTGATCAGCACACCATACAGTCGGATTACATTATCAGATTTATGGATTATAAAAGCTGCATTACCGGCCCAAAATGTGCAAAATGCGAAGCAATGATGTTTTTCATTATAGTAACACTAGCCGGTGCACTGTCTATGCGCGCTACCTGTCCATAGACATACACCAAAGCCTCAACTTTCCCTAGTTTTTCGAGCTTGTCTGTCACTCACCACCCCACCTTCGGAAGAAAAAAAACTTCCAAGATGTCACCAGTCCCAATTTACTATGTTTCGGGTTGTGGTTACCTTCACATCCCGTTTACTTCGCCTGATGCTCGCTTGCTCTGCTAAGTACATTGCCTCACCTGTACCGAGTGGTGAGAGCACTATACATGCGCTACTCACCTCAACCTTTCTGGTACCGGGGAGCTTTGGACGTAAAGAGCTCAAATAGAACTACATTGTGTGGCGGTAATCGTTCTGTCAGGTAGTAGACCAAGATGTTTCAGGTGAAAAGTGTCATGTGAACATTGTCGAAAAAGTGAAATTAACGAGAGCAGATCATGAGTCGTACGTCACACAACTGGCCAAACTAAACAACAGCGTTAGTTTTCGCCTTTTTTGTTTTTTTTTTCTAATTATTTGGTGGTTTTCTGACACTCAGAGGTAAAAGCCACTTTGTCTCCTTCTACTATTTTCCGAGGATATCGCTTTTTTCGCACCTTCAATCTGCATTTCTAGGTGGCTATTAGTGACCGAATTTCGTTAAATTCTGATGCGGAAAACCGTGAACTTACGTCGCTGGCGCTAAGCGGTGTGCAACTGCTATGTCAGTGGACCGCTGACGTTGTAGAGACGATTAGTTGGAAGCTGCTGCACCCGACGAATAGCAGGGATAATAAAGATTGTCCAGAAAGTGCCGAGGAGTATGAACGGGCAACAAGGTAATTCTCTGCAGCACACAGTGAAGAATACTTTTCCTCATTTCTTGTGGTTGATGACTGAAGTTGATAAGCACTGTAGCTTTTGACTTCACCTCGTTGCAGGTACAACTATTCCGCCGCTGAGAAAACCGCACTGATTCAGACGATTTCCATGATAAAAGGATTACAGTCCTTATTAGGAAGAATCGAGTCGTCGTTGTCGAATGCTATCAGGTGTTGCTTTTGTCGTCAGCATTACTTAAAGAAAACCTCGCAGTTGCACATCGTCTATAGAGGCGCTCATGTACGACCGCTTAACCTATAGCCGCATAATGAGACTCCAGTGGAGAAGAAAAAAGCAAAAAAAAATTGCAGAACCTCCTATGTAAGGCCCCAGTCTCCTGTACGGGTTCTCTAGAGCTACTCGCTTCATGTCAGCAAAGCAATATTCTACCGCCTCTGGTTCCTTAATCTTTACCAGCGAAAAAAGGAAAAACGCATTGTAAAAACTGAGCTTTTGGTAGAAAATAGCCTCAAATTTTTGGTGGGCGGGACAACTAGGGGGCGTCGGAAACTGCTTTTGAAAGCCGCAGTGCCTTCTTTGCTTTCTGGGAGCCGCGGAAACGGGACAACCTTTGCCACTGAGGAACTAGAATGCTCGTACAAGGAAGGTCGGGCGAATTTTATGGGCTTCGCGAGGAGTATCTTCAAGAACAGTTGCACCACCATATTCACACATTTTAAACAGTTTTGCCGGCGCGACCATATTTTCTCATTCAGGCGTCACATCTATGCCGAACTGCAAGGATTCGTACAACACGCTTTCAACGAACCTATACAGAAGGCTATAAAAGGCAAAAAGGATCTGTTAGCTAGGTAGGTGCCAGTCTTGTATAGCGAGCAAGTTTCTAGTCTCAACTCCAATTTATGTGAGATCTACAAGCTAGCTGGCTGCGAATGAAGGGCGTGTCAGACGGGATGAGCTTGGCACGGTGCCAAACCCGTTTTCCCTACAGTTGTTGTACGAGCAAGCGACCAGACTGTCACATCGTTCGTATCAATGTTTCTCCATCAGTTGCTGTCGCTTACCCACTTCAGCAACTGGTAGAGAACGGGTCCGGCGCAGCGCCAAACCCCTCCCGCCTAACATGCCATCCGCAGCGAGCGAGCTTATATAAGCCATGCGATGTTGTTCAAAGCTATGGAAACAAACTGTGTTTCAAGCATCCTGCAGTCGGTTCGCGACACCTGCATTGATGCGTACTCTTCTGGATCGGAATCACGTCCGTCAATTGAAAAGCAGAAAAAGCGCCAAGGAAAAGAGTCGACTAATAGTTCAAGTAGCGATTTACGTATAGCCAGAAGAGCTTCACCGCCAACTCCTAGCAGCACACAGGTTTCTTTCTTTTTTCAGCTTTCTCTGTCTTAAACACTCACTTTGCCTTGTCTCTTGCTTTTGCTCTTACGGCCACTCGATCGTTGCATATTCTCCTGTGTTTATTTAGGGAAGTAATGGTTTATATTTTTCTGAATTGTTCCGTTATAGCTTTATATGGCCAGAACACAATTGGAGTCATTGATTTCGGAGCGAACTAGCGGTGGAAAGCGGGTCCTCAGAAAAGAGCTTGATACTAAAACAATCGAGAGAATCTCTGTTTTCTTACGGTACGTCATTTTGATTTCTTCCATACTTAAAATGACATACAATACATAAAAACTCCTTATGCTTGTTCTTACAGTAAGTCGACCCACTGGCCTGCCCTGTTCCGACTTTCTGATTCATTAACTGAAGCAGCTGAGCTAAGCCAACTCTGGTTTCGAGAGTTTTATCTGGAAATGACAATGGGACAACGTATTCAGGTGATTTTTCTGGAATCCTTCCATAAAATGCGCGCTATCCTTCTTTGGTGAGCAGCGACATACCATAGAGTTGAATTCGAGACCAAGATTCTCACACACAGTGGTCGTAGGTCATCTTGGTAAACATTCCTATTCCTCTTCTTCCTCTCTTCTTGTATGCATTACGATAGTTGAGAATTTTACTGTCTCGGAGCCTCATGGTTATCTAAATGTTCAGAACAAAAGAAATGTCTCAAAATGTTTATTCCAAAGAACTCAAAAGGCGCAAAGGTTTCAAAAAAGCTCTTCAGAATATTGATCGCGATACTTCGGCGTTTAGCGCCTTGGTCAGTCCAGAATATAAGTCATTTCTTAGTTGTGCTTAGCACCACACAAACCGTATTATCCAATATTAACTCACGTGTGGGTCTGCTCTAATGTGGGGAAACTTCCTTTTTCCGTCGGAACTGCTTACTCTAGTCCTGGTTCTACATACTCTCAAATCTTTCACTACATCAGTTTGAGCTTGTTTTGCCGCATTCTTTCAGAGCAGAAGTCTTCGCCGTTGATCACTCCCTTTTGGGCACGCAGTCTACTTTAATACAGAATCGTGCTGACTTGTTGAATGCGATGTGGTCTGTAAAATGGCTTGTGGGGATAGGAGAGGTATGGTCAGTGTTCTGGCCCCCCAACCGAATCTGTCAGTTTAGCGTCCCACGAGGGACATTGGCTTCGGCCTGCCCTGGCGCGAGTGTATCCCTGGATCGGAATCCCCGGACCGCTGCGGCGTTGCGAGCGTCCACTTGTCGCGACACCACGCCGCCTTTCCGCCATTATTACTTTTTTGATCGCATTTTTCCGTTCCCGTTCATGCATCTTGATCTCCTCTGTAGTTTTCGTTTCACTGCTTTAATTCCATTCCTTGACTGTTTCGCTTTACATCAAGCAGTTAATGTTTTAAGCCAACTTACATGATCTTTTTAAATTATGAATGATTTTACCGTTTGGTCAGTAAATGGCTTTGCAGTTCCCCATAGAAATGTCCATTCCATGGATTCTCACCGACCATATTCTGACTAATCCCGATTCATCTCTGGTTGAAGGAGCGTTATATCAACTTGATCTATATAACGATGCAGCTAACTATAGTCTCTTTAATTTCCGAAAGCGTTTCCTTTTCGACGAGGTACTTCTTTTAAGCTTTGGCACATTTATTTTGTCACTGTCGCATAAGTGTACCAAATCCATGTTGAGTGGGAAGCCGAAGTTGAATCTTGTGCTCGATCAATTCATTTATAAATTATCCATATGTTTCAACACACTTTAAACACTTCTTGGCTCCTTGTATGGTGCTATTCTACATTCTTGATATAAAAGCCATTGGGAAAACTGCTCGTACATTAGCATGATGCTCGACAAACGTTTCAAACTGGACTGTCAAAGGGCAGGAGTAACAATTCGAACCCCTCCTGCATGCCGTTTTGATAGTGTCCTCAGGCAAAGGCATGTACAGGTGACTATTTTATTTCGCTTCCTGTCGGTATGTATGGTTCTTGTAAAGTGACGTGTTATTGTAGCTTGCTTTTTAGGCCTTCTATTGATCTGAACGTGTGGATGGGCGAACTGGGGATTAGCATAGCGCTACTGAAAGCTCTTGATACAGCCATATGGATGTTTGAAAGTGCGGAGCTTTCTAGTATTGTGGTATGTTTGGGTTTTCACTTGATTTTTCATTGTTGCGTGTGCTTAGCAACCGGTCATGGGTAGGTCAGGGAGAACTGGATTTGTCGTGAAGTGAAAACAAGCGACGTATTCACGTCGAGCTGGTTGGGAAGAGGCTCGTTTCTCCGGTTCAGATTCAACGATCTCTACTTGGAGGGAGTTATGGCGTTCTTCCGGCCGGTTCTTTTGTCATGATTGTGAAGCTCAGTACTGAAGCTTAGACGGTATAACTGCAGATGTGTTGCATGTGCTGTAAATCGCCCTTCCTTCCTGTTGAACAGAGAATTCATTCTGAAGATCGATCACTTCGTATTAAATGGCGTATCTACTGCGTTGAAATGTATGTATATGGTGGGAAGGAAAGTCCTGTCAGGTTTTTTTAAAGAAGGCTCGCCAGTTTTGATTCTCGCATGCATGAACATGGCTTCACAATGCCATGCTTGTAGGATACATTCTTAAGACTTCTGTTTAAGGGCGTGTGTGAGAAGCGCTTGCGCTTGTCTGGGTCTAATTACGATGTCAGTTTCACAGGAGCACCCTCGGGCCATCATGTTATATCAGTGGCCCCGCGGCACTGGAGCAGCAACAGCTGTCCCTAACATCAGCAGTGCATTGGCAGAGGACACCACTACCATCAGGACCGTTCTCTTTTGGTTCGCTCACTTCGCGAAAGGAGACTCGAATTTCGAAGACAAAGCATTCGTTGGGACGGCCACGGTTTAAGGACTCCACATTCTCCCCCAAAGAGAGTGGCCCATCCCGCACCCCGCCAGACTACCACCCGTCGGGCGACCGAGAAATGATAGAACCTTGTCGACAAGATCTGGTGTAGAACTGAACAGGTCGCCAGGCACCTGGTATAGTCCTGGGATTACGAAAATAGTACTGGCTCGAAAATTTCACTGTATATGCCTGCCACGATGGCAGGCTGCGCACATGGGCACCCTTCGCTAGTGCTCCCTTCTCCACCTGGCGGAAGGAAGAAGAATGTGGTAGGAGACGTGGGGGTTCAGTGGGGGGTTGTTGAGGAGACGCGGTCCTCTGAATGATTTTTCATCAGTACCAGTACGTGACTGGTTGTCGCCCTCAAAGGAGAGACGTGCATCTCTGAGCCATGCCAAATCAGGGCATGTATCAGAGAAGTCTCTTTTGCTGTCCTTGGGACGTGAAGGGATGCTGCGAACAGAGAACAGATCGTACCGTTAACATTTGTGTTGCTGGAGTCGTGAAACCGGGTGGAATTATTGTAGAAAAATGATTGAAACTAGCTTCGGGGCACTGCGCGAGACCCCATACCTGCTATGTAGACCACTCAAATAAATGAGGAGGAAGGCTGGAAGACCAGTCTCGATATAGATAAGGTCCCTGAGATGCTACCTGCTCCCTCTTTTGAAGCTTCGCAACTTTGATAACATCAGTCGAGAGGCCGCTGATTTACTCTTCTCGCAGCCTCCTCAGTTCTGGAAAAGAGGAATGGTTACCTGTCCATTAGGTGGAGTACTGTAGTGGCTAAGTATGACGAGTGTATTGTTGACTAACTCCCACTGATGACGTTTCAAAAGATTAATTAAATCTCGTGTGTTGACTTGGAAAATAATAAGCAAAAGTTAACAACGGTGACAAGACTTTCCTTCCAACCTATATTCGTGTTTTCCTTCTTCGTGCGCGTGTAAGAGTGTCCAGTGTGAGTTTTGTTAATTTAAAGGCAAATCACAACGTGTCTGCACCACATGGACGAATAACATTGCATGTATTCTCGGGAATCTGTGGAATTCATGATTCGTTCGAATCTTCTTTAAAACGGAGTCTAAACCACCGACTTCGTCCGTAGCCAAGGTGTTTTGTTATGTCGTATTCACAGTGTGATCAGTCGTGAATGATTTTTTCAATCGACAACATTTTCCTGATACGGGTGCCTTCTATCTAGTATTGCCTATCAGTTACTCATAGTGGGTTCGCGTCAGAGAATGTTCCGGAGACACCAGTCGTGAAAAGAAAGCCGCCAGGTTTCTTTCATCTATCTGTTGGCGATCGAAATCTTCTGAGGCTTGCTTTTCGCAACATATCTTCTCCTACTCCGCTTCATTAGGAATGCCGACCTGAAGGCCGATTGCACGACTATTGCAGTATCAAGGTTATTTGATCTTAGTGCTTGTACTGCCTGTGTTAGGAATCTATTAATGTCAGGCATTGCTGTAATCTTGGAAGAACTCTTGAAAATGGCACGATTGTTAATCTCTGACAAACTTTAAACGTCACTTGAGAACGCGATCTAGCTCCGGTGATTGCCGAAAGTGTCGCAAGTTAGCCGCGGGCGAATACGGATAGCCCAGCCGTCTGTCTTAGAGTCTACTGCGTTTGGACTTGCAGTGATCGTTCGCTGGCTTTTCATGAGATTGAGAGGGTATTTTCATAATGAGTTGATTCTTTCAGGGTGTTCTCCAGTATTACTTCCATCATCTCGACGGTGTAGGAAAGTATAACGAGCTCAAAGGCGAATTCTGCCAGGTATTTGATTTGACTTGTGGGTTGTTCCAGGCAGATTTGCCAGAGACGCACTATAGAACTGAAATGGGAAGCGGAGGTTATTAAAAGGCTCAGTTTAACCACTTCACCTGTGGATAGAAAGTCAGTGATATAGGGGGGTGGAAACGTCCAGAGCAAGCTTGGTTTGCGCGATGATGTTGGGCTATGCAGACTCGTTAGTATCCGCGGTCTGGTAATACGGTATACGTTCATTCGTGTTATTATACGTTGGCTTTAGTCGGATGAGGCCGGATGTATCGTAAAGAACGTGTAGAGAGGAGGAAGTCAAGAAAGAGGCCTACTTTTCCATATTTGGATTTGGAAATGGAGTCTTCTTTCTCTTAAACTTTCCCATTAACCTAATGCTTAGGCACTGTTCACACCCTGCGGTCCAGCGTTTCTCTGAAACGCGGCGGTTCGGCGAAAACCTTTCGATACATATCGACTGGCGGTTGGGGGGCGAAGAGGCGCGTGGGCGTTGGGGCGAAAGGGGTGTTTGGGATACTGGGGTATCGACGGCGTTTGCGGCCGAGAGAGCCGGGCGAGGCGTGTGTGGTGCGCGGTGGGGTGAGCGAAGACATGACTAGCGTGCGAGTGGCGGGGTGGCGGTGGTGTGTCGCGCAGGAGAAACGTGCGAGTACGAAGCATGTACCGTTTTACGCCCACGGCCCAAGCGCGGCGGCGTTGGGGGCGGTTGGACGGTTGGGCGATTCTCGATCGGATGAAGCTGATTTTTTGGATTCTTTTCTGCGCACAACCGGGCCTTTCGTCAGGGGCACTGGCGACGTGTTGAACAAACCTTACGCTGAGAGGTGTGCTGTTCTTTGATGAACCGGGGGTATTTTCTTCATTAGAATAAACCTTGAAATGCCGTTTTCAGGATCTACGCGAACTAGGCAATATCATACTCTTTTGCCATCAACTGGAGTCAGGTATGGCTCAAGAGGAGGTGCAGGATCTACTCGCAGCAGCTGCTTTTACTAATGTGATTCCGAAGCCTCCTGCCAAAAGTTTGTTTCTCTGGAATTATCCTTAGTTGAACAGGCTAGTCTTTTCAAGCGTACTTTGTACGTTTTAATGATTCACCATGGGAACAAATAGGACAACGCATCTGAGATGAAATAGTCGTGTTAAGCAGTGATGCAATGCATTTTAGGTGTTGCTGAACAAGAAAAGCAACTTGCTAAACTTGAGGAGAAGTACGCTCGTATCCAACTAACAAATGTCGTTGAGAAGTTTGGCGATGATAAGGTATGTTGTGATAGTGCGGGAGTTTTCACTGCTTGACAATGCTCCTGGTTGTCGCACTCAGGTCTTCTATCCAAAAAAGGGGTGTAAATGTGGTAAAGCCGTAGCGGTTGATGCCTGTTGGCGACTGCTAATCTGCCATCTCCTGGACTTACTGCTCCAGTTCACTACACCTAGTACTTCCGGACTCTTTTCTCATCTTCATTTGACGTGAAATGGTCAGTCACGGCTGAACGCAGGACTGGCTATTTATGATCAAGAGTACATCATCTGAATGAGTTCATTCTAATGAATATTTTGGCATATTTGTCAAGAAGAATATTTAGAACAAGCTAAGGAGAGGGATTCTACGGAACAGGAAGCCGTCGGGAGATCGAGAACCGATCATGGTCTACCCATCTAGCATTATTTTGCTTTGTAGGGACTATTTCCAACACCGCCTTTGCCGTCCGGGTACTGAATTGAAGGAGCGGTCTGTTTCATTAAAGTCGTAGCATTCAAGGTACAACCGGCCGGTCCACTCGAACAGTTCCAGTAATGTCTTTGGAACAGTGCATCTCTTAAAGTATTTCCAGTGGGGTAGAGTTTGGTTGCTCTAGGGAATTGGCCGTTTCGGGTCTTCGAAAAATCTCTCCGAATGCTGATTTTTTCCCCTTTCACGCGTGTTATATCCCCTGCTTGGCGCCGTGGCAGAGCTAGTATTTCCGATGGTTGTCAGAGGTGTCTATCCCTCTATCCGTTCTACGGCACAATTTTGAGGAAAATGTAGGAAGATGGTAGGCAGGATGGATAAGGAAGGTAGTATAGGAGGAGAGAATTCGGGAGGGGGTCTTATTTGGCGAAAATTCCTCCCTCCCCTCCATGGCTGGGACGTACCCTGGTTTGGAGCCCAGCAGGCAATCACCATATCCAGGAAATAGAACTAATTGTCGGGGGAAAGGAGCGCAGTGGATAAAGGGATAAGCGGGTTTCTGTCTCGAGTATCTGTTTCCGTTGCCTTCTGCGCAACTATTTCAAAGGTTGTATTTCTGTGTAATTCGAAACTCTTCGGCTAATGCCGTTTGGACTCCAGAAATTTCGGCTCCGAACCCGTTTTTAAAGTGCCTATGTCACCAAATTCGCTAAAAACTTGTACATAGGGGTAATTTAAAGACACATGGTACGCTCAAAAACACATTGAGGGTGTATGAGACTATCAGCCCCCCCCCCCACTGTCGATGTGTCGTGGTCCCCCCGCCCAAAACTGCACGGGGTCAGAGTACGGGGCCGTGGGAAAGTCGTAATTCCTTGCTACGCCGCCCGTTTCGCAAACTCACGTTTTTACTAACACCGTCCGCGCGGCGCGGTCGCGTGCAGCTCTCTTGGCTTTTTGCCAAGTCCTGTAATTGCGCTTTGGAATACAAGTACAACGCAATTTCTTTATGCGGATAACATTTTAGGTGCTGCAAAATAAGAACCGAAGATGATGACGAGGGCTAGAACTCAAGAGCAACTGTGGTGCTTCTGCAATATCCCTCAGAGGCCGCGCATTCCCACAGAACATGACAATAAAAACGGCCTAAGCGTCCCACTCGTTAGTTTGAAGTATTTCTATAGCATTAGAGCCGGATTCGAGCCGGATCGCAGAAATGCACACGCGATTTTAATTTATTGCGTTTCCTTAGTTTTTTCAATTTTGTTTTATTTACATCTACATTCGTTGTTGATGTTCATTTTCCTTTGTCATCTTCATCACCTTCTATTCGGACTTTGAAGCATGAGCAATACCTCAAATGTTAGGAAATTGCGTTTTGCTTGTATTGTCATGTTTTATTGTCATGTTGTCCGTTTTTATTGTCATGTTCTGTGGGAATGCGCGGCCTCTGAGGGATATTGCAGAAGCACCACAGTTGCTCTTGAGTTCTAGCCCTCGTCATCATCTTCGGTTCTTATTTTGCAGCACCTAAAATGTTATCCGCATAAAGAAATTGCGTTGTACTTGTATTCCAAAGCGCAATTACAGGACTTGGCAAAAAGCCAAGAGAGCTGCACGCGACCGCGCCGCGCGGACGGTGTTAGTAAAAACGTGAGTTTGCGAAACGGGCGGCGTAGCAAGGAATTACGACTTTCCCACGGCCCCGTACTCTGACCCCGTGCAGTTTTAGGCGGGGGACCACGACATCGTACAAGCTGGGGGGTCTGTAGTCTCACACCCTCAACTTGTTTGAGCGTACCATGTGTCTCTTAAACATCCTGATTACGAATATGACATTCACTCTTGTCGCTGGCGCCAAGAGAGGACACTACGATTACCTCCTGGGCTCAGCCTTAGCAGAGCGCAGATAATCGTAGTGTCATCCATTAGCGCCAGCGGCAAGAGTGAATGTCATATTCGTAATCAGGATGTTAAACTACCCACATATACAAGTTTTTAGCGCATTTGGTGAATTAGGCATTTAAAAAATGAGCTCGGACCCGAAACTTCTGGAGTTCAAACGGCATTAGCCAAACTCTTCTATGCTCGAATTTTTTACGTGGATTATCCAACCGCGATTGTTAACAACTTTCATTCAACTGGCGCCTCCTTTATAGCCTGGAAAGTCAAAGGACCAAGGAAACCATTCGCCAAACTACTTTTTCAACCTACAAGAAGCTCAAAATAGGACTATGACTAGTGCAAGTCACTCCTTGATCTCTATTTCGTGTGTATTTCCAGCAAATTGCCATATCGAGAGAAGCTGAACTCATGACCAAAGAACGACTCTGTTGTGGACTTAACATTTTCGAGATGTTCCTGAGAAGAATTCGGCAGATGCTTTTGGATGACTCGGTATGATTTCGCAGATTTCCGCAATCAGGATCTAGCTATGCGAGAATCTATGCCTTGTAAGATGATGCATTAGCTATGAAAACGGGGCAAAGCTGGGGATAATTTTCTCTTTGCTTCAATTTCGAAGCGTGCGAAGATAGGCTCGCTCCAAAGGATGAAGGTGGTCGCCGGTAATCAGTCTCATTTTGGATGAGCACGCATTCTATTTCCACTTCCATTCAGAATCGTAATGGCTTGCTGAATGCGATGTGGCCTATACAATGACTTGCGGTGGCCAGCCGATGTACAAGTCAGTGTTTTATCCTCCCAGACGAATCTGGTACCAATTCACCGTCCCGGAGGGTAGAAGGCTTGGTTGGCCTGGGCGGGAGTCGTTCCGGGATTCGATGATGAGTGGCGCTGCTTGCCAGTACACCGCCTCCGCCTATGAACGTCATGGGGAAAAGCCTTGATAGCGAATTTTCAACTTGTATTTCACCAAGGTGGTAATGAAAAGGGAGAGAAAGAAATGTCCAGTAAATCACTCCGGCTGACTCTAGTAAGGATACCATTTTTCTATCATGAGTAATCGGGCACTCCTAATATGCCCGTTTTTCGGAGAGATTTGGAAC